CCTCACTCACCTGCTCCACTCCTCCTCTGCCTCCTCGGCAGTGAGAGTTCGGTGCTTGGCCAGCGGTGTAAAGTTGTACCAGCTGTGGACAGGGAAAGCCTCAAACGCTCCATCAGGACACTGTGTAAATATGTAGTAAGATGCATTTTCTGTAACACCGCCCTTCTTTAGACCTTTGAACCTGACACAGAGGAAGAGATTCTCATCAGGTCTGCATAAGCAGTAATCAGAGATAATCTGACAAAAGAAATAACTCCATAAATGCAGGTAATGTGAACTGAATTCATCCACAGGATGTAATGTAGTGCAGTGGTCCCCAACCCCCGGGTCGCGGACCGGTACCGGTACGTGGATCAATTGGTACCGGGCCGCACAAGAAATCATTAAGTATTTCCGTTTTATTTATTATCCGACTCTGAACGATCTTTTATTTTGAAAAATGACCGCATTCTCTCGGTTACATCTCGGTCACTTGAGCGCCAAAACTGGCTTACTTGTGGACATATTCAGCCTGCTCAATGAACTCAATCTGTCACTTCAGGGGAAAATGACAACTGTCTTCAAGTTGGCAGATAAAGTAGCTGCATTTAAAGCCAAACTGGATTTGTGCGTACGGCGCGTCAACAGAGGTATTTTGGACATGTTTCAAACATTAGCGGGGATTTGGGGTGACACTGAGCCTGAGTCTTCATTCTCCCAGCTGGTGCACGATCACCTGTCTTTGCTTATAAAAGAGTTCGAGCGCTACTTCCCAACCACAAAGGACCCACGAACTGCCAAGGAATGGATCCGCAACCCATTTGTCAACAAACCAGGTGAATCCAGCAGGTCTGTGCAAGAAGAAGATCAACTGCTGGAGATCGCAAATGACGGCGGCCTTAAAAGTATGTTCGAGACAACAACTCTGTCGGTGTCCTGGATTAAAGTCATGACAGAATACCCTGAGATCGCCACCACAGCACTGAAAACCCTGTTGCCATTTCCGACATCCTACTGGCAACTTTATTTCAGCTGTTGAAAAATAACATTCATGGAGTGTTTAATATAAAAAAATAAAATAAAAATGTTGTATAGGTATATTTAGATAATAGAGAAAGAAATGTGGAATTGCTGGTTCTTGTCATTTATTAATTTTTCCACGTGAATTTTTTTAATAATTTATTTAGGGGGCAGAGAGGATGTTACTAGAGACTTTGATGTTATACTCATGTTATGTTGTTGGCGCAATGTTACGAGGAAGCTGCTAATAAAGTTGCATACGAGTACACAGTGGATTCACGTTTATTATTATTATATTAACAATATAAACAATCTACGTACATCCCCCCCCCCGGGCCGCGGTAAAATTGTCAAGCGTTGACTGGTCCGCGGTGATAAAAAGGTTGGGGACCACTGATGTAGTGGAAATGAGTGAATCCCAGCATAAAGAACTGTATTTCCTGACCTTTTGCCAGCCTTGCCATTGACCTTGAGAATCCATGGCTGGTCCTCCACTTTGAACTCTCGTGTCACAATACCATATTTCTTCCGTCGTGCTTCCTCACGCTGCTTTTTGCCAAACTCACTCCCAGCTGCACCTTCCGGAGCCTCTTCCTCCCCATATATCCGCCGGGCACTCATGTCTCTTTCCATACGAGCCTGGGAAGGGAGGAGGAGGGCGATCTAAAGTTGAATGCTATGACTGTAGCTTAAGTTATTTGTCTTAGATTTTCTGTATTCTTTGACGTCTGTTTCATGTTTTTTTTTATACAGACTTGTTTATTTTACTACAACCTTCCAAGCTGCAAGTGCAGCTCAAACTATCTGTCATGTCTAGAAACACAGACACTGAAGCTCACCTGTGTCCAAGTTGAACAGTTGACTCTGTCTCCTGCATTGAAAGCCATAATGTTGTACCTCTTGCTGGGGTTTCTATGGGACAGAAAAACGAAAGCAAAAAAATAATTAACGTCACCTATTAAGGGTAATAACTCTCAGATCATAAAAATGTAATGCAGATTAAAGTCACATACAGTACATACAATACATTAAGTAAAGCTTGGAGCGATTAATACATTTGACTACAAATGGCTGAAAAGCACAAATTAACACTCCTACTTCGTCCTTTATCAAGCCCATGTAAACACAGAAGTACTAACAACACTGCTCAGAATCAGACAGAAATTGAATCCCTCCACCCTTGAAACACACAACAAGGCCTGTGCAGACACTTTTTTGTGGATATTTGCCATCAGTCCATGTTACTCACTTGGGGACTCGCACAGTGTATTCTGTGACTGAGGAACTGCTGCTCCCCTGTAAGAAAAACAGAACCAGAGCTTTGTCTCAGGCTTCATTTTTCCCACCTGTAATGTAATTTCAAATACAGACTGCCAAACAGATGGTGATCTTCATCTCAGTACGACGTGTTGTGATGGTAACTGAGAAACTATTGTTGTTTACATATGTGACCAGAGTCAGCTTGTCTGCAGTGCAAACACGCAACAATACCTGACTTCACCAGAAAGAGCCTTCATTTAACAGGAATACAAGAGAGATCTTATAGTTAGAAGTAAAGTGAAAACTTGCCAGAGACGCCATGGTTGGTTGCCTTTGAAGAAGACACAGGAAAAGAAAAGCTGTATTAATAATAACCAGATTAAATGTGCATTAAAGGCAAAGTGGCCTTAGTGCTAATTATTTAGCATGTGGCTGGTATATGGTAGTTTATCCAAGCCGGTTGCTTTTGTGCTGATGTGGTTAATACAGGTTATTTGTTGGAAACACCAACGAGTTTCACTAAGCGATCTAACATTACAGATGTGATTAATTTTAGCAGCACATTAATGTTATGTGACCACAGATTCGCGATTCTCTATTTATGTGGTAACGTCTTCTAATGCGCATTAAGTGCGTCGAGACTTTTGTAGCATTACCGTTAGCTCCTGATGCTAACAAAACAGCAGCTAAACATTTAGCTGTAGTCTACGGACAGTGCTCATCGTTACTGGAATAAACAAGCGTCAAGCTCACGTGACATTTACATGCAATAAAAGCACACATATGCAAGTTATACAGACCTACATAATATATGATACTAAGACATTAAATAAATCATCTTCGTAATTTACCGGTGTGCGTATTCCCACTAGTCTTATTTCGTTAATTTATATATGGTCGACAAGAAACGTAGACTAGAAATATTGGTTCCTAGCTGCCCGCCCCATCGAGTAGTACCAGCGTAGAGTTGCGATACTGTGGATACTTTCAAAATACAGTAACACATTCAGAAACGATGATGAAGAAATGGTCACTTGAAAAAGTTTAGGCAATTTTAGTGAGACAACAGAAATTACACAGACGAAACATGGTAATTTTAAAGTTATCCAACAGAGACATCAAATAAAAAAAGCTTACACAAATGCAAATACTAAAATTACAGTTGCTCGAGTTTAGCTTAAGAGTAATGAAAAGAAATTGTTATGAAATGGTTAATGATTAAACGATAGAGACTGTTAGACATAGTCCTAACTAAGAAGACAAATGATCTCTTCAGCCAAAACAGTTAATACTGACCTGACTGATAACTGTTTTTGCTAGTGTTGCAGTTTCTGCCTATGACCACTGGGGGGCAGTGAACTCTGTTGATTTTAACTTGAATCACTTTCTAACAAGAACAATGCTGAGTTTTACTGGTTTTATGCTTCTGGCCCTTTAGAGGTATTAAACTAGTACAAAGGTACTGGATGGATTATAATCTTTAAAAATTATCCACATGAGTGAAATAAAGGTACTGTGAGGCAGAAATCACATTTTAGTATCAAAATATTAGCTTTAATCACTTTTTGGAAAGGAGAATACTGCATTATACTGGTTATAGCCTACTGGCCGTTTAACGTCATGGCAGATGCAATAATATGTGCTAAGACTTTTGATAATACTGTCAAAATAAAATGAGTTACATTATAATGAAAAGTCATGTTTTTAATATTTTGTAAAAAAACAAACATTCACATTATAATATTTTTTAGCCCCTAATAATGGGATGGATTACAATGTACAGAAGAAAACAAAGTATTAATTATTTAGTTCCCATATATTTCTTCTCAAATGATTTCTTAGTCATCACAGTTTCATTTGCTAGAAGTCAAAAATACCTATGAATAATTATTCATTTATTTGAGCACTTTGAAATATGTTTTCTCTATAATTATGTTCCAGTTGTTGGATTTCCTGCTATGTTTGTTTTTGCTGCTTATGCCTACTTAATTCATTATGTGGTATATTGTATGTGCAGTAGATGTGTAGTTTCAGATTTTTGACTGGATACAACATACAATAGATTCATTAAAATAATCTAGTTACTGTTAACAGTGTTTGCACTGTAGCCTTTGAATATGTAGTTTCACTATAGAAAACTTGAAAACTCATGCTAAGCACTTGGTAAGTTGTTATTTGCCATTACATCAGCTCTATGTTTTAGCTCCAAGGGACAACCACAGTCTTCCCAAAATTCCTGCCTAAGCAATTAATGACACATTCTGGTCAAGACCATTGTTTTTTTCTATTATGTGAATACAGATTCAATTAGAAATGTGTACTCTGAGGGTACTGAACACTGACATTTATGTGCATAGTTGGTACATTCAGTTCTAACCTTTCCAACTTAAAATGCATTGTAACACATCTTTTAGACCTGGAGCATGTTAAAAGTATTGTTTGCTGTTGCGTTCTCTCTTCCCACAGCTTTTCACAGGTTTATTTATTTAAGATTTAAGAGTTGACAAATTTTAATCTTTGTAACATTAAAAACTAATTTTGGGTGCAGTGCAAATTCTAAACTGTATGCCAACACCCCAGTAAGGATTGCTCTGCCTTTCATCTTAAATGGATCATTTTCATAATACAATCCTGTAGCTCCAGGTTGAGAGGATTCATGCTTTCACAGCCTCAATACATACTACTGCCAATAGCTTATATTAGACAACAGCAAGCTCATAGCTCATTAATAGTCTTGAACCAGAACCTTCAGTATTTGGATCAAGTACAATGTCAAAAATAGCATGTGCCAAATTTAGTGGGCCCATTGTGCCAGATATACACGTCAACATTTGAATAAATGTAAGAACTGGATTGGACCTGGTGCAGAAACCCAGTATTACATGAATACTGGGTTTCTGCACGAGAAAAAAACTCGATCAAAGCATCTATGGTTATTAAATTATAATTCATAGTTTAACGTTACTGGTACTGGAACCTTACAAATGAAGTATTTGTAACTTGGGATGTATTGTTCAAATTCACACAAATTATATACATCTAAACATTTTCAAAATAGAACTGTGCCCTGTATCATGAAAATTTCAAAATAAAAATATTTTAGGACACCGACAGCCTCGAAACCATTCAGATTTTTTAGAACTCTCTATTGTATCTGCTCCTTTTAAATTCACTTTTCATCATCCCTCAGTTTGACGATTTTCATTCTGGTATGAATAACATTTAGTTGCTGACTGTTTATAAATTAAGGTCAGATAGCCAGGGTTAAGAAAGAAAAAATTAAAGTGCAACTCTAACACAGCTTAGACTGAGCAGACACACAGGAGCAGGGAAAATGACATGTATTAGTATTGACGTTCACAATAAATACAGTATGTAAAAGAATCAACAAAATGACACATAGGAGTTGTTTATCAAGCCTTCATACCTCAATTGCAGTCTTGGTATGTGTAAACACAGGTGCTCAATGACGACACCTTTCTTTTTCCTTGAACTGGATTTGCATTGTATTTTTTGCACATGCACTTCAAGGGAAAACGTTTATGGGTGCTGTGCAAATTTTAGAATGAGGATCTTGGATAGTCAGGACTGATCAGCACATTTGATGTAGGATCCGCCACGATGAACTACTGTGCTTCATCACTTCTCCTGGGTGAGTGTTTTCATATAAAAGATGTACAAGTGATTCTAAACTTATAAACTAAATGTATTAGACTAGTACCTATCAAAAAGCTATGCTCATAATAAGTTTTTGTAGTAAATAAAACTTTATTCAGAAGTGTTTTTGAAGTTTTGTTTTGCGTATAGATGTGGTCTGTAGGCATTAGAATCAGTAAAGAAAGGCATTGTTTGTACCTCATGGCACCTTAAAAATGAAGTATTTATTACCTTGAATGTGTCCTTCAAATGGACTTTTACTGTACATACAAACCTTTTAAAAATGAAATGCATATTTTATTGATATTTTGGGAAAGTGAAGATTGTAAACATTGTAATGATTTGTGTAGTTACATATTAAAGATGCAGTTGTATGGATGCTTATTTTACCTTCCCAATGTCTTTGTTTTAGGTTTTCTCATCATCCCTGTAACTAGTGATTATCCTCCTGGTAAGAATGATGTTTACTTGAGACAAAACCAGAAGCTTCTATCAATGACTGAAACAACCATACAATCATAATTATTCTATATACTTATTTATTTGCCTTTATGCAGGTTCTTGTGATGGATACACAATCATAAATCAACCATGGCGTAACATAAATTTTAGATCTATTACCTTCTCTGGTTATCCTCATAATGATGCGGGGCTCCTTAACAAATGGTGGCGCTTCACTGGGATTGGAGGAGACAGAGTTGCTACAAGCTGTTTACCACTCTATTATGGTGGCACATATCACCCTATTTATATTCCATTTGAGTATCCAACTAATGAGTCTGTGACCCCAACAACAGGAACCGCATATGCCATGTATAGTCAGTGTAAGGAGTTAACTAGCACAGTGAATGTGGCCCTTTGTCCTGGAGCATTCTATGTGTATCAACCAACAACTCACCCACCGGTATTATACGCAGGATACGTGACTTGTAAGTAGTGATTTTTTTTGTGTGACTACTGTGTTATATAGACAGCACTGTAAAAAGAGTAACGTATAACAACAGTTATGAATGATGTAAGTTTTGTATTTTGATCAAATAAGTGACAGCGAACACTGGATGTTCTCATATGTGTTTAATAATGCAAATGCTGCTACATTGAACATTGACAGTCATCACTGATACACTGGATTGTCACTGTGCATAGAGTGACATTCATCCCTGAGTCCACATAAGGGAGCTAGCAGTGTCTCAGAGTCTGTTTTAAATGCGGTGCGGTGGCTAGCGCTGCTGCCTCACAATAAGCAGGAACCAGGTTTGAGCCCGGGCCGACCCACGGCCTTTCTGTGCAGAGTTTGCATGTTCTCCCTGTGCCTGCGTGGGGTCTCTCTGGGTACTCTGGCTTCCTCCCACAGTCCAAAGACATGTTGCTTAAGTTGATTGGTGACTCTAAATTTCCCGTAGCAGTGAGTGTGAGTGTGTGTGTGTGTGTGTGGTTGTTTGCCTACTTGTCAGCCCTGTGATAGACTGGAGACCTGTCCAGGGTGGAACCCACCTCTCGCCCATTGTCAGCTGGAACTGGCAACCCTGTTCAGGAATAAGTGGTATAGGTAATGGATGGATGGATGCCTCAGACTGTAGTAATAAGATATATGTCCATGTATGTAATGCTCAGTGACATTTCATCTTTGTTTAACATCTGTTTGTAAGCTATGACTGTCAGCTGCAATACATTTTTGAGTTAATGTCACCTGATCAGTTGTCAACATTTAACAACACCTAATAACCATGACAAAAGCCATATCATTATCACTGCTTTACTTAGGATATACAGAAAAAATGGATGAATTAAATGCTTTTTATCTTGACTCATGTACAGTAAAAGTTGCTTTAGTTCTCCTTACTCACCAACTTTTATACATAGGAAAGAGTCATATTAAAAAGTAGGTGATGGAATGCACAACTCATATTATTTGTTTAATTATCATTTATTATATTATCATTTTATAATAAAAAAAAAACTGTTTAGATCATTATGACTGTCAGCCAGACTCCTGTGGACCCAGTGCTCAGTGTACGTCTGAGGGGGGCTGCGTTTGTATTACTGGGTTTGAAATCCCGCTTTACCACACACCCACTGAAGATTCATATGGCTGTGTTGGTAAATATATTTTATTTCATTGTAACAGTAGAAAATGTGTAAATGATAGTCACTAAGTTGTTGTAGTATAAATTATAATCACTACTAGGCTTTGTCATGTTATGGAACACGGCTAGATGCTAATATCTGCAGCTGCTTGGCTTTAGATGTTCAATTTCATGATAGACAATCAAAATAAGAAATAAATTGCATAAACAACCATATTTTCATAACTGGTGATTTCAGAACTGTCATAGCTGGCCGGTTATGATTTTTAAACCATAGCCATATTTGTAGCAGGCTACTGTAGCTTTGTAGCATCTGTGCAGTGTATCCATTATCTGGGAGCAATGCAGAAGGCTACAAACCGCAGAAAGTAAATCAAAATGCCACATGTGGTCTCTAAACTTTGCAGTTTGTGATTAACCTTCTTTTTTATAATCCCACCTGTAATAAATCTCATTAGACATTGATGAGTGCAAGACTGCAGGATTATGCGGTCCTTATTCCACCTGTAACAACACCATTGGATCATATAACTGTACCTGTTGGGATGGATTCGCTGTACAAAATATAACATTACAACCTTCATTGTCCAACCAATGCACAGGTACCTTTTTAAAAAATGAATGTCTCTCTGGCTTTGTTGCAATTGCATCAGATTTACAAGTTGCAAAATTTGCTCACAGTTGTCAATTGTTCTCTTTAGATATTGATGAATGTCTTGAATCTATCTGTGGAGTTAAACAGACCTGCATCAACAGCATAGGAAGTTTCCTGTGTTTGTGCTCTAAAGGCTACTACCTTTCAGTTGATGAAGTCCCTCGTTGCCAAGGTCTGTACTGTACTCTACTATACTCTACTATACTCTACTATACTATACTATACTATACTATACTATACTAATATGCAATGAGCAAGGGATAATCCACAAAGAGCCATCATATTGAGCTGTTCTGGTTTTGACAAACCATAAATAATATTAAAATCTATTAAAGACTTTTTAACACCAACCTGAAACACACAATGGGCAAATAAACAGCACCTAATTGTTGAAGCCAGTAATATTATAATATGGGTGACAGGCTGGGGAGGTATAGGGGAGTACATGGACCCCATTTTAAATTAGTCAGCTAGTTTGGTTTCCATGCAGGCTCTGGTGTTATTCTAATGGATGGATAAAGCTCTTGGCTTCCCTTATGTTGTTGGATGCTAATAAAACACTGATTTATTTGAACAAATATAACAAGGTTTTTAAATATTGTAATTGATTATACTACTTCAAACCTCAAGAACATATTGTAAATGTATTTCAGCTATTCAGAAAAAATCTACTGAGTTACAGTATAACAGAGGCTAGCTAGGAAAAGGATTTTGGACTGTGGGTATTTATATGCGACAAAGAGAGACACTGACAGTATGTTATATAGTCTAAAGCTTTTCCACCAAAAGGTCCAGGACATTTCATTTTCTAAAACCTAATGAACAGGAACGTCCAAGGGATAAATGTTCCTCCATCACATTGTGATTTGGGTTTCCACATCGGGGCAAACACCTGGGAAGATTAAACAAATAGCAAGCAGCAAATATTCAAAGGTCAAAGTGTTTATTTGTCATATGCACAGTTAGGAAACGTGTTTCCCTGTATAATGAAATGCTGACAGTCTAACATGACTGTTCATCCTAAATTTTGTTAGTCAAAAACTACAAGCAAAACGACGTGTTTGCATTAGTGGGTTTTATAAATGCTGGGTGTGTATCAATACTGTGGAAAACACTAGCGTACTTGACCTGTCAGTTTAAACCTAGTCTAAACCTGAAATTGTCACTTACACAAAAACTACAAGCAAAACGAAGTGTTTGCATTAGTGGGTTTTATAAATGCTGGGTGTGTATCAATACTGCGGAAAACACTAACGAACATGACCTGTCAGTTTAAACTTAGTCTAAACCTGAAATTGTCACTTACAGTAGCCGTTCTTTCCTCAGATATCGATGAGTGTTTCAACTCAGCTGTTTGTGGTCCTAATTCTGTCTGCACCAACACAATTGGATCGTACGACTGTGCATGTGCAGTGGGTTACAAACCAACTAATCCAACTCAACAACCCAGCAAGACCAACATCTGTATTGGTATTTAGAGACACTGCAGGAGTGAATTTGAGAGTTGACATGTTTCTGTGCATGGATTACTGTTATCTATTTTGAATACATTTTTTCAATGAGAGTGAAGAAGAAGAAGGAAGAAAGAAAGAAAGATGAAATAGCCAACATATTTTGCTGGAGACATTTTTACAAGTATTCAGTAAAAAGTAATTGTTTTTCTCCATAGATCTGGGAAATGTAGGTCTTCACTAAACCAAGAGACTGTTATGTAAGATGTAAATCTGAGGGTATCAGAGGAAACTGAATGATAGGGTAGACTCATAAAACAAGCGGTCACAGTGCTGATTTGTACCAAATGAGCATGAAATTTACAACAAAGTGTTCAGTAGTGTATCTTTTACTGCACAGTATGGCTAAATCTAAATAGATTTTTAACAAAGTATTCTTGAAACTTGGATGTGCAAAGATGAACTTTAAACTATGGGTACATATAATATAATATAGCCTGGTAGGTAATAATTTAACAGTTACTTTTCACCAGTAAACCTTAGTAGAACTGCAAAAGTGGTGTTATCAATAGCCAGATGTAGGAAGGTTATAATCCAGACTCAAAAGAGAATATGGAATATTTTCTGTATAATGCATTTTAATGTATTATTTTTTATAGATATTAATGAGTGTGTCGAATACAACACCACCTGTGGACCTGTGTGCAACTGCACAAATTCAATTGGATCCTACTTCTGCAAGTGCTACCGTGGTTATCGGGAGACCGACGGCACTATGATAGCCAGCATTACTAACCCATGCATAGGTGTGTGCCCTTGTTTGATTCTTTATCTACTTAACCAATACTCTGCTTTTGCTATTTGGATGCTTATGGATCACATAACCCATAGCAACAGATAGTCCTGTCTGTGCTTTCTCTCCACAGATATAAATGAATGCATCGAGACACCCGGCATATGTGGTCCAAACACTGTGTGTACTAATTTAATAGGCAGCTATTACTGTTCCTGTCCTGATGGATACTACCCATCAACGGGAGTCGAGTGGCTCATTGACATCTCATACTGTAAAAGTGAGGCAAAGTCAAGTCTAAAGATATTTAAGATTCAGAAAAGTGTAAAAACATTCATGTAAACATATTGTTAATTGCTGACAGATGTTCTAGATGTTCTAGGGGAAACAATGCCCCAAAAGGTAAGACCCACTGTCATTTTCCTTTAATGTGGCAAACTTGATAATATTCAAACAAATATCACATTTCCACTCAAATAAAGCAACATCACTTCTAGGACTTTGGTTTAAAAAATAGTTTTAGTGCAAATTCTATTTCACTATTGTGCAATGAAAATATTGTGATTTTGAGATTATGCAAATTAAGATTCTACATTTCAAATGACACACATATTTATTGCAGGGTCAGACAAAAGAAAGAGCTTTCCTTGACAATATGGGTGGCCAACTCCAGAACAACACTGATTTTGTCTTACCAACAGCGGTATGTAACACTACAGTGTGGAAAACCATGGCTAGTTCTCAGTGAGAGTAGTATTTACTTAAACCTGAGTTTAATTTGAACTTGAAATTAAATCTGGAGAAATGGCATGGTGTGTTTTAGGTGTAGGCACAGTTTCTGACTGTGCTGTTAAGTCTACAAATGTTGTGTAATTTGAATTGCTGATGATATTGTAATGATGTTCTATCTAACGCTTTCCTTCTGTTCTTCTTGATGTCTTTGCAGACTGTGTCAAACTTTCTTTCTGCATCTATGGTACTCAACATCCAACCAAATTAGACTTTTATATTACATTTTAAGTTTGTATTTTTTTTATCTGTCTGTTTATTTATTAATTGTAACAAAATCTTTCAGCAAGTGTCAGGCGTTGGGCCCCATGTAAAGACAATCAATGTGAGTAGTGAAGGAGATGGGGTGACTGGCAGTGTCATCCTGGGCATCTCAGACCGACTAGCTGCTACAATGTTTCATCCAGCTGTGAACCAAACAACCAAAGTAGTAGAAACTACAACAGTGTGTAAGAAAAGTATTGTGGTACTGTGTAGATGGACTACATTTGAATTCTCAGTAAACATCAAGTAACCTTGCTTGAATTTTTTTTTTATTCATGTTTAAGCTATGACCCTACTGGCCATCGGTCCACAGACTACTATTAACAGCACTGTGCCCCTCTTTGCCAAAGGACACGCTATGGAAATCAACTTGTTAGACTTAGCCAAAGCCAACAATGGTGAGAGAGACGATCATAAAGAAAATGATGACCCCTCCTACACTGTATTACCAAAGTCAGACATTTAAATTTAACTTTATTAATTTCTTTTGTGATGTGGACGGTCCAAGGTTCTGTGGCAGCTGTCTTTATGACACTGAATGGGATGGAGAATCTTCTTAGTCATCAGTACTTTAAAACAGACAAAGAGACAGAGATGTACTCAGATGTTCTCACTGCAATATTACCCTTAGTAAACAACACCAACATCACCGAGCCTGTCAACTTTACCATCCAGCATAAGCAGGTGCGGCACTGACCAAACTAAGGATTCCGCCCATCAAAAGAAAAAAAAAAAAGCTAAATTCATCTGATTTTTGTTTTTGTCTTGGTTTCTCAGCCAGGACCTGCATCTGGAATGATGACTTGTGTGTACTGGGATGACAAAAGCAAGGACGCAGATCTGGGACAACAGAGTGGGGGAACAAATAAGAAAGATTTGATGAGTTGGTCAGAACAGGGCTGTTGGGTTGCACACACAGATGAAAACTACACAGTGTGCAGCTGCTCTCATCTGTCTACCTTTGCCCTCATAATGCAGATTGGGCAGGTATATCAGATTTCTATGTACATCCAAAATGTGTTGCTAAAAACTGAGACATAACAGAGAAATATATTATTTGCTTATGCATATGCTCGATTTCATATATATGTCATTAATTTTAATTGAAACACACACATTTTTTTTAAATTTGTCAAATACAGGGTAGGGCCTGTTGCCAGACAAAGTTGAAGACTCAAGATCAAGTTGATCAAAGTCGATGTGTGTCTGTGTGTCTCATGCCTTTTCAGCCTCCACCAGATGACAGTTTTTTAGAGTGGATAAACCGTGTGTGTGTGATTATTGGACTATTCTTCTTTGGCTTGGCCATTCTCACCTTCCTCCTGTGTAGCTGGAACCCCAAGGTCAACAATACAGCCCGTCTTCACCTCTGTATCAACCTTGCCCTGTCTCAGATGCTGCTGCTGTGGAATGACAGATATGTGGACCAAAAGGTACAAAAAGATTTGTTTTCAGAGATATCTCACACATGTATTATGTACGATCAAACGAGGACAGAGAATCCTCTGCTGAGAATGTTGTGCATGAAGCTCAGAGCAATTCACTGGTTTCCTTCTATGTCTTTCCGCAGTTGGCCTGCAAAGTTATGGCTGGGCTTCTCCACTTCTTAGTAGTTGCAGGTTTCGTGTGGATGCAGCTTGAGGCGCTACAGTTGTACCTGCTTGTCCGAAGACTCACCAAGGTGCAGGTCATCCAGAGAGATGGCCTCCCCAGGCCACTTCTCTACTTGATTGGCTATGGCATTCCATTTGTGATTGTGGGTGTTTCTGCACTGGTGTATTCCTGATTCAGGGGCGTGAGTAGAACAGACTCTCTGTCACCCTTCTTCATATTCTCCTTTTTTGTCTGATGTGCATCTAGGATTTTGTTACTTATTTGCTTCTGTTGCAGGTGCTGGCTTTCTACACAGCGGAATTTCAACTGGGCTTTGACGGGCCCTGTGATTGTTATTCTTGGAGTAAGTATATTAGATATTAGCAATTGCATCTAATTTATTTTAAATAGCCTAGTGTTCTCTAACTTTAACTGGTCTGAACCAATGTTTAGTTAATTGAAAACCCAGAAAACTCTCTCAATGCCCTGCTGGATTTACAGTGAAGCCCAGATGATTGTGATGCAGTCCAAGGAGAAAATTTGTGAGTTGTGGGTGCTTTACCTCTCAAAGCACTGTGGGATAGCAGACAATTGACCAAAACCGGGTCTAAAATCTTCACCTGATGCTAACATGGACATGGCATGACTTCCCAAAGAAATTGACAATAAAGTTTTTTGACAGTGGTGTACCAGGATGTGTAGTATTTATGAGCCTTAATGTACACAGTATTTGATAAGGAGCAAGCTACTTACTACCTTGCAAGATTCGACATGCTGACAAGTGAACAGGTGGTTTCAGCGGGTCACTGTTAGCCACATCTCACGTCAAAGATGTTTTCATGAAGACACGTTGCTGTCTGTGTACTATAAGAGTTACAGTATAAGCGCCTCCCACCACAAGCACACATATCATACAGAAAATTTCTATGGAGGTCCTTTTTGTTGCATTTTCTTTTTCCATTATATGCTCTTTGTGCTCAGCCTTTGTGTCTTTTTTCTTTAAAGCTTAATTGGATGTTGTTCTGTGCTACTTTGTGGAGTCTGAGACCCACCTTGGCCAGCATGAAGAGCGATGTTTCTCAGTCCAAAGACACCAGGTACGAGTAATGAGGATTGTCTTGGCATATAAATAAAAAAATGTGTCTTGACCTGTACAGGAGGTTTATAGGAATGTTGAGAGTGACAGTTCATACATTATGAAGCATTCAGCCAAAGTCATGGTGCTGGTCGTGGCAACAAATGACTTTAAAAAGACCAGCTGTGGTCAAAGCTCTGGTTATACCAATAAACTATGGAAGCTTAGTGTGTGCTTATCTGTATGATTTTATGTCACTACAATATCATAATGTTCATCTGAATGGATTTGATTGTCGTAGGCAGATAAACAGTTGGATATTCTACCTTAAAATTATATAGAGTGAAAAGAGGTACACACTAAACAAATTCAATGTTGGTTTAATGGTGGTTGGTAGGTTTGGAGAAAGGCATAATACAAAAGTAAGAGTTGGATTTAAACTGTGGTCACAGCTGATCTTTGACTGGGATTTACCTAGAGATGTCAAAAAATGTCAGCTTGGCTTTCACTTGGTTTAAGTGTTAAACATTCTGTACTCACTAGCCATCTATGTTTATGAGTTATATATCCTTAAGATGAAAATTCATTAAATCCTCATTGTTTCAGGTTGATCGTGTTCAAGATCCTGGCCCAGTTTGTCATACTGGGCTGTACATGGATTATAGGCCTGTACCAGTCAAACCTTTTCTTCCGTGTCCTCTTTATTATACTCAACTCCCAGCAGGGCACCTGCCTCTACATTGTCCACTGTCTGCTCAATAAGGAGGTAGTCTTCACCTACATCAGCCTCTTTTCTTTATCTCCTTTAACTATCGACACTTGACAAATAATTGTATTACAAAGACAGAATGAATTTAAGGCTAAGCTACATTTTAAACTGACAAACTACACTGATATTTAACCAAAATGTTTTTATTCTGTGGATATTTCATGCCATGTTATGCAGATGAGGTACTGTTATTTCTATGTGACTGTCTAGTTTGTAGATTTTGTATATTTCTGCATTTTGTGTATAAATTAGAACTGTTGATTCTTTTTGCTCCAGGTGCGAGAGGAGTACATCAAATGGCTGACATGCTCATTTGCAAAAGACAGATCTGAGGTGAGTTCCTGGAAATACAGCATATTATCTCAATCAGTCCTAGAGATTGTATAGAATTATGGAATTTGATCTAATTTTTAAAATATGTGCAAATTAAATATTTTTAAAAATATGCATTATTGCAAAGTTTTAAGCAAACTTTCATGTGTCGGTTTAATGTCAAAGGGACATGAGTAAACAGTGCCGAGTTTAAGCATTTGAAAATAGCTATAGTGTAATTTTAACAACACAGACTGATTACAATAATTTCTTTCAGCATAAAGATGCAAATTCAGTCTCAGAGGACGACTTGGACAAACCTGTGGAGCAGACAAATAAGGCAAACAAGGATGATAAGCAATTGTGATAAAGGAAACAGGAAACAGGGAGAAGAGAGACAAAAAAAGGACAAAGTCATCTATAACAAGTTGACTTTGATTTTTTTAAATGCAAAAGGTGACCTGTAGCTTAACATGAATGCCATGAAAATATATCATTGTCTCTCTCTTATCGTTCTAGCTGGCTGTTTTCAGTCTCCAAGTCTTGAAAGTCAAATGTTTTAAATTATGTTAAATTTAAGCCTGAATGCAGTGAGTGTAGTTGTGCTACTCTCTCTCTCTTTAATAACCAGATTTAGGTTTTGCTACCATCAATCAATATTATTATGATGAGTATATTTGACATATAGTTCATGTAGCTATAGAAAGAAGGTTTGACAGTCCTACAATACAGTACACATTTGAAAGCTTTTAGATCTGCTGGGTTTTGACAATTTCTGCACTATATCATTGTAACTTACAGTAAACTAGTTTAACAGATGAATGTTACACACACTGAATGTGAGGCTAATAAGGTTAGAAGTCTTCAGACTGGTATATAACACTGGGAAGACTTGTTGAAATAGCCACCACCTCTCCACCCAATTCATTTGCCTGGGTGTGAAAGCTTTCACAAGCATGTTAGTGCCCACACCCTCAGTTAGCCACTGTCTAAAAACACAAGCCTTCTGCCAAGTCAAACATTCATACCTTAGTTGTTTTTTGTCTTTTGATTTGTATTGAATTTACATGAGAGCTGGAATAGTTTTACATGGGTCAAACTTTACAAGACAAATTAAAAGGAAACACAGCCCATATTGCATTTAACTTGCACGTTACCAGAAATCCAGAGTAACAGTGGGCACAAAACACGCTGAGTTTAAATGAATGGATGTGTAACATAAAAACACTCAGAAATGCAAGAATCAACCTAGTTAAATTTACCTGTCAACTTAATAAAGAACTGCTTAGTGCTATTTATCATCATCAAAGGCAATACTAATGTGTGTGTCACTTTTAGTAGAGTGCCACTTTCCTTTTTAACATCTTTTATGTAGAATCTCTTCAGTTCAAAAGATGTTGCAGCATTAGCCGAGTGAAGAGTTTTTCTTTGGAATTTCTATTGTTGCCATCTCAGCTTCTGTATATGTTGCTTCTAGCTTGTTTCAGTAAATTAAAGATGGATATCACTGCTCATGATGCTGTTGTACCAGAGTTTTTGAACAGCACGTCGAAATCTTTCAATAGAAAAACATTGAAAACAGATTTTTAGAGACACAACGCAAAGGTAATGCATCAACGTTAATTCTAGAAATGGTAGAGTAATGCACTGAGATCACATTATTAATGAATATATAAAGTGTGCAGATAAAAAAACATTGAAAACAGACTTTTTAGAGACACAACGCAAAGAATAATGCATCAACATTAATTCTAGAAATGGTAGAGTAATGCACTGAGATCACATTATTAATGAATATATAAAGTGTGCATACATTTTAGGTGTACTGTATACAGACATCACTGCAGTACATATAGCTTCCTCAAGGCTGCAGCATTTAATCACACATGTTAATCTGCTGTGCTTTCTGACATTGATTTCCTCTAGAAGGTAACATGATGACAGATCATCTAATCTAAATAATACAATGTTTAGTGGGAAACCTGGGATTTCCTCATGAACTCTTTCTTTATGTCCCAGTGAAATGTGCTTAGATGCCTGTGATGGTAACAATACTTCTAATTTCTAGTATTCATACCTGTTTTGGTCCATAATCATACTTTGTTTTTCCAGTAAGCATCAAATCTGATAAAATTAATAAATAATGTTGATAAAAAAGACAGTGATGCCAATACAAGAAGATCAAGGGACAATTCCTTGCACTCAGTTCGAAGTGCACCATCTCAGGATTGGACTGACCTTGTCTCATCCACGTTAGAAGATAATGAGGCCCTGACCATTACTGAAAAACACAGTGGTGTAACTGCGGCCACACATTAGAGAAGCTGCTGACACCCCCTGTGGAGACATGAGCAAATAGCAGAAATAAATAATCGTCTCTTTTCCCTCATCAACAGGCACCTTCATGCTCTTAACCCTCCTGTTATCTTGATGTTATAAAGTTAAAAAAATCTAAAAGCAATAGTTAAAAGTATTTTATTGGTATGAAACCTCTTCTGCTTGGCTTAATAGGTGTAATCAACATATAAAATGAAAATGGTTCATTTCACATATTTGCAACCTCCCCCTGCATGTTTATATTACAAAGATACTGTTCGGGTCAGAAGAGGTGTCTCATGTTAATTTATCAACATCACTTCATAAAAAGAAAAGATTTCGAAATGTAAAATAACATTTAAAAACAATGTCATGTAAAATAATGTATTTTATATGTAGGTCTTTCCAATGTACATTAAAAAAGTTTTAA